TCATCAATTATGACGAGTTCATTCTTGGAAAGAGTTTTAATTAATTAATTACCATAGTTGGGCAGGACACGTGGCTTTCTCCCCATCCACCTTCTTCGTTTTGTGTTGACAAGAAAAAGTTAACACCTTTTCGAACTGCTTCATTGTTGTCATATGTCTTACCAGCAGCAGCTAATCCTTTTAGAGCAAAGAATGTCCCGTAGAGGAAACAAATTGCCCAATACCCATACCTGTCGTGTAAGTAAATTTCAAATCAGATTAAAAATCGAGCACTTACTTTCACCTACTATTGAAAGCCTACCATGAACCGTCAAGCCATTGTCTTTCTTCAAGGAATCGTACACTTGCTGCTATAGAGTTCTCAATTTCTTGCTTCCGATGGTCTGGATGCAAACTCTTGAATAATACAAACGCATGGATTACAGAAGTAGTGCATTCAACATGCCTGAACAACGAGCAATATGAGAAATGATAGAAAAATAAAACCAAAAGAAAAGAAAATTAGCCACGATCTCACTCTTGCTCGACGACTATGTCAGCAAAGAGTTCTGAAGGATTCAACATCTGAAAAGAAAATAACGTTACACGATTCAAAATAGTACTTCTTTAGGGAACATTTGGATTGAAAAATCTGAGAAGTTAATACAACTTTCCTAGTACACATGAATGTTTACCTGTAAATATGGCTGTGGAATTGGGGGCTCCCAGAGTGCTAACCCACCAGTGTTCGGGCTCTGAATAAAAACCCAAATAAAAATTATCATTCTCTAACTTGTATCTAAATCATGTATTTTTGGCAAAGTTTAACTTAGTGCCCATACTTGTACATAAAGGAGGACATTTACAGCTTCATACAAGCGCTCCACGTCAACTTTTTCTCCAGTAATTTCAGTTGGCATTTGTGAGAGTAGAAGTAGACACTGAAGATTATACATTCCAAGTTGGAATAAGTCATCGTATCTACTTAAACATAGAGATGATTGTAGAGATGAAAATAAACAACCTTAAGCGCCTCGGCTGTGCAATCTGATACAGACCACCCATTATCTTGATCGGAGAAAGTCCATCCACCTTTAGTAAAGTGACGATACATACTTTTATAGTTGCCAGTTGGGTTTTCTTTGATCTACACAGTATAAAATTATACAGTGGAGCTTCATTTAATGAAAGTAGTGTTTCCAATTTTCATTTCGCTGGTTTCTGTATAAAAACCTGAGATTCTTTCAAGTAGAAGTATGCCTTCTTAAGACCATCACCATATTCCTCAACCATGCCCGTTGCAACAACAGCTTGAGTGGCAAGAGAACAATCCCATAATTGACTACCAAAAGTCTGCAGGTTAAAGAATGTTGATAATTTGTCACTTGATCAATAAAATAAATGGTTATTGGTTTAACGAATGAGTAGCATACAAAAGGCGCAATCACAACATATGATAAACTTGTGCCCCTGTTTGACAACCATTAAAATACAACTTTTTTTTTCTCAAACTCATTTTCAACCACACATTCTCACAATAAAACATTTTGTACGTAAACCAGAAATTTTTTCCAACTTTTTAATCACACATTCTAATATTTCAACTCATTTTTCCTTGGTTGTCAAACAGGGGTATATTTGGTTCAAAAAATGCACCTGTGTTTTCAATCCATCTTCAGCAATCCACAAGAAATCAGGAATTCTTGCAAGGTGATGCTTGTATTCGTCACCATCTGGGTCATGTGCCCACCAACACATCATTTGTAGACTCTACATCGAAAAATATAGGTCATACCCATTTTTATTGTGCTATAAGAGAATCAAACCGACTTTAAGAAGAAATTTCACAGCACTTTAGATTACTGGACCTTTTCTATGCATGCCATGGTAATGTATCTAGTTTCCTCAGCCGAGTAGCGCATTAATTTGATTGCCTTTTCAAGAGCTTTTTCTCTAATCTTGTTCAGAGGCCAAACCCTCATTAGTGGTTCTGTAATGTAGTTGAGTGTGTCCCAGAGCAAATCTTGTATGAAGGTGTGCGGATAGTACAAATCTTCCTTCATTATTAGAATCATAAGCATAGGCCTATAAAATTAGTCTTTTGACTTGTACACGTAAAATATAAGAGATGTAACCAACCAACCTTACAACAAATATGGCGTGTGTTGTTCCAGTCTATCTGATCATACAATTTGACATGAATTTCTTGTCTAAGGGATAAAACGAGATCAGTGAGTGGGCCATGGTATTTTTTTCCGTACAAGTACGACATGGGCAAGTAAGTTGTACGGCAGAAACACCACATTTTTGCTGCATTGTAAACAAGTTAGTTACAGTACAGTCCAAGTAATTTCAAGTTTAAGATCTGTCTGTTTTACCTGGATGAAAAGGCAAAAATGATGGGAAAAGCCAGAATTCCGGAGGTATTGGATTGCATCCATCCCAATCATACACACCAAGGACCTATATATTCACAAAATAATTTGTTCATAACCACAAATTTTGAATAAATAACAGAGGCCATAGAAGAATCTTAGCTAAATTCTACCTCATACTCAAAAAAGTGATCAACAACATGATAAATAAATTTTTCACCTATGCTTGTGTAACAATGTGTAAAATTTCCGTTTCTATTGTTGCTACAACTAAAACTGAGTATTCTTACAGAAAGAAAGAGTTTTCCCCAGGAGGGAATACTAGTTGCACCCCCATGATCAAGTATCCACTTGCGGCCTTTAGTAACTGCACCGTTGCCATCGTCCTGTCCTTCTCCTAATAGACGTAATGTGACGTAGTTTAGCACAGAGCCTATCATGGTGCTATGGCCTTCAATGTAGAATCCCCATCCACCATCATCATTCTGCAGTTTACATTCTTTACGTTATTTTACCTGTTCAGCTCTACAATAAAGCAATGTACATATTTGGTACCGACTTGGTGATTGTAAATATAACGAATCATCTCTTTCTTGTGTTCTGGTGTCAAGACGGTGTTAATTTTGCCACTGATATACAAGACAATGATCTGCAAGTACAAACAAGAACGCGTTTTAAATGAAGTCACTCGTTAAAACATATCCATTTTGTACATACCAATGGAGGTGTGAAAAACATAGGGCCTGCATTTTCAGCTGGCCAATGCCCATCACTTGCTTGCAATGCCAGATTTAACCGTAAAGCTTTCTTCACGGCCGTGGTAGCTGCTTCATAGGTTACTTCTTCACTTTTATCTAATCTCACTGGCGGAATGCTTAACAGATCAATGCCACTTTCTTTTATAAGCTGCCAGAACACAAGATCAAATTCAATTTTGTTTTTTTGTTTTTTCCTTATTTTTTACGTAGAAAAGAAGTTAAAATCCTCGACTTGATTCACCTGAATTCTCGTGAACAAATCTCCACTTGCATGAATTCCCTTCTCCCGATTCTTCTGAAATTCTTCGCGCGCCTTTTCATATTCTTGGCGCTCTTCGAGTGTTCCTCCATTAGGATCGTACTCCCAAATTTGTCTGCCTACAAAATTATTGGTGCTGTACAAGTATGGTCCATTGCCTTGAGCAATTTTGAGCTTCCACATTTTTCTGAATGAACCCGTGCCATATTTTTGTAAAATATTAGTGAAGTCGGATTAAGTGTAATGTATGCAATTAATAAGAAATAAAATGGGATTAAAAATTTTATACAAGAGAAGGGCTCATTGGCTTCATGTGATATTTAATATTAATATAGATAGATGACTTACAAGAGCTATAATACAACAAATAATCAAACATCACTGTTCATACAAATTTATGAACGTGAAGAGTATTCCACTCATTTCGTGTTGTCAAATTTTAATCTCATGAATATCTTGAAATGTAGAATCAATTAGCAAAGAGGATGAATGCAAATTAAGAAAGTTTAGTTTAAATCTAGTTCACGAGATTTGAGTTTTTGTTTTAATTGAACGACAATGCTGACTAACTAGAACGTGGATTCAATCGAATTAACTTCTTGTAAGGAGTCAAACTCAATTAAAAAGATAAGATTACTTTTGACTCCTACTTGTAAGAAGTTAATTCAATTGATAATTAAAGGAAGAAGATGTCCTGAATTGTCTTCTCTTCAATATAGCTTCCCCTGCACACAAGATTCTATGTAAATTTAAACTATATGAATCGAGATCGTTACCTTTTCAAAAATTCTAACTATTGAGGGAATTTGAAGATTTGAAGGTGGGAAAAAAGATACAGCGAAATTCTCCACTCTGCAATTCTGTCCAATTTATATGTCAGCCACTGTTGTCAATTCTCGTGTGTTTTAATGCCTTCCATAGTAAGCCAAACTTGGCGGCCGTGGCCATGACTTCAATTCTTGCTCCATTAATTCACTAAAATTAACTGCTAAGGTCCAAAATCATACCACCAAATCTAGATTTTGGTAGTCCTCTCAACCAAACCTAAACTAAACTTCAAACCCTAAACTAAAATGCCCGAACAAAAAATGAATATAACTAACAATAAAAGTACGACCAGCTTTGAAAAATATCCACACCACTTCTACTGATTCACGCATATCAGTTAATATTTTCCAATTTTCTCTCATATTTTATTCTCTTACCGTAAGCGCTGGTAGGACTTGCTTATGATAATGGGGTACTTTTCAAAAGAGGAAATTACACCCTCCCCT